CCCTCTCGACTTTGCCTTCATGAACACGGAATCGTGGCAGCATCCAGACGCGCGTCCGTGGATTCGGCGGAGCCCTCATCCCCGTGAGATCAATCTGCATGAACCTGACAACAACGGCCTCTGCACCACCTGCCACACACCCACGGCGAGCCGGACGGCACAATTCGAAAAGGAGTATGCGGCAATTCAGGAAGCAGAGAGCGCCGAGAAGGAACCCACTGGCATGACCGAAGAAGAACTTGCTGTGACAACTCAGCGCTTCTTCGGTGAAGGAAACGAACGATTCGGTCAGCTGCCCGTACCGCGCCCAACGCCATGCACCGACACCCTCCGCTTCATTCTCGAAGCTAACACTGGCACCCTTGACGAAGAGAATCGATCGCGCCCGTACACTCGCGAAGTCTACCGCCGCGAAATCGACCCGGCTTGGAAGGATCCTAACGCAGAAACGCAGAAGGGGAGCTAAGCGTCAAGGAAGAACAAGAGAAGGCCAGGGCAGAAAAGAAACAAAAGCTATACGAGGAGCGCGTTGCGGCAGGATGGAGCGTGGAGTCTGCACGACGAGGTGCGTGGGGAGACGAAGATTACGAACCGGACGAAGGCGCTACCTGGGGATCTGCTACTGGCGCCTGGGGCACTGCAGCCAGTGGCATGGTTACCAAAGGCGGATGGGGCACGGAAGAACCGGAGGAGGCAGAGCTGACACAAGAAGAGCTGGAGGCAGCAGAACAAGAGCTGCGAGCTGAGCGCGGAGAAGAATCTCCCCGCGTCACCATACCCCTCGGGCGACCGCCACCCGCACACTCACCTCCTCGCTCACCCTACCGCTGGGACAGTACCTGGACGGAGCTTGAGGAGGGGAACATACCTCCAACACCAGCACGAGACTCTCTTGGTCCAATCTCTCGTCTAGACCCTTTTGTGCGCCTCATCGAAGGCACGAGGACACCGCTGAACATCATCCCCGACCGTGACTTCCTCGCCCTCTACCTCACAACGGCACCTGCAGAAGGGGACGCAGCAAACAGAAGCAGAAGCAGAGGAGGCAGAGGACGAAGCAGAACCAGGAGAAGAGGAAGAACCCCCACTCCAAATCCCGCAAGAGACGGAGGTGGAAGCAGCGGAACATCATGCACGCTACATGCACACCAGTGGCATCCGCGCGGAAGACGATCTCTGGCACCAGCGGCTCGGCCATCCCTCGCGCCAGACCCTTGCCAACTGCCTCCGCGCCGGAGTCTTCCTCCTAGGAGCACTACTCCGCCCCGACGGTACCGAACCACGCAACTCCTCACAACCGACCACCTGCACCGTCTGCCCCACATCAGCCCTCACCCACAGCGCTTACCCCTCTCTGGAGCCGAGCACCAACCGCTACAAGAAGCTGCAAAAGGTGTACAGCGATTTCATCGTGCTCACCTGCGACGGGCTCAACGGCGAAAAATATACACTGACCTTCATCGACGCTTACTCACGCCACGTCTGGGTCGTCAACGTCGACGCGCGATCCAAGGCTCCAGAAGTCTTCCGCATCTGGCTCGCACACGCACAGCGTCAGTCGGGGAGGAAGCTGAAAATCTGGCAGAGTGATGGCGCCAAGGAGTTCCGCAGTAACGAGCTGGAGAGCGTCCTCATCGAGAAGGGAATCAAGCACGAGATATCCCTCCCCTATGCTCACCAACAGCAAGGCGTTGCGGAGAGGGTTAACCGCACTCTCATGACGAAAGTGCGCGCGCTCATGAACCAGTCCGGCTTACCCAAGAAGTTCTGGCCCTACGCAATGAATCACGCGGCACGCATGCACAACCTCCTCTCCACCACGGCCAACAGGGACAACCTTTCCCCGCACATGAAGTGGACCGGCTCAAGGGGAGACCCGTCCATGCTGAGAGTTTGGGGTGCATGGTTCAATTTCGGCCGACTTCAGCCACAATCGGCAAAGTTTGCTCAGCGCGCACGCTGGGGTATTCATCTGGGGCTCAGCAACGAGCACAAGGGGTGGCTCATTCTTGACATCGACAGCAAGGAGACTGTTCCTGCGCGCGACGTTCTCTTCTACAAGCGACTCACCTTGAAGGAGTGGATTGAGGACGAGAGGCGCAACCAAGCTCGTGGCTACGTCAACAGCGGCCGCAGCTTTGCATCTCCTGAGGGCGAAGCAGCAGCAGCAGCGTTTGATCGCGACGACACTGACGACCATCCCGGTGTTCCGCCTCGTCCTCGCACGGACGATGACGACGACGACAGCAACGACGCTCTTGCGCCCGGACCATCCCGCTGCCCAGCCGCACCAAGCACATCCTCACCTGGCCACGAGAGCGACGATGACGACGTGGTGGAAGTCCTCATCACCACGAACGAATCTGGCCTGCAACTTCTCGGCCTCCACACCTCCGTCTCCACCCTCGTCCGCGCCGTCAAACCCAAGAACCTGCGTCAGGCCCTAATCGGCCCTCACGCCAAGGAGTGGCGTGCAGCTATGGACGCTGAGATAAAAGCACTGGAGTCCCGTGACACCTGGGTTCTCGTCGATCGTGCAGCAGTGAAGGGGAGAATAGTGCTGAGCGGAAAATGGGTCTTTCATCTCAAGACTAACGCTGACGGACCCATTGAACGTTTCAAGGCACGATGGGTCGTACGAGGATACAACCAGCGCCACGCCATCAACTTCGGCCAAACCTTTGCTCCCGTCAGTCGTCATACCTCCGTCAGGATTCTACTCGCCATAGCCGCCGCTAAGCATCTGCCACTGCGACAGATCGACGTGAAGAGCGCATTCTTATATGCGTTGGTGGACGCAACCATCTTCGTGGAGCAGCCACACACCTACGGAGAAGGAGACCCCAGGGTCTGCCAGCTAAAAAAATCCCTCTATGGGATCAAGCAAGCGCCTCGTCTGTGGCAGCAGCACATGCACAAGATTCTGCTCGAGATCAGTTTCAGGCAGCTGCTGCACGACCCCAAAATGTACCGCCTCCACTTCAACGGCGACTACATCCTCCTCACCGTCTACGTCAACGACCTGCTGTATACTGGCACCTACAACCTGCTCCTTAACCAGTTCGAGGAAAACCTGGCGAAGCGCGTGGATATCACCATCAACCGCAATGTCACTCAGTTTCTGTGCGTGAACATCACCTACGCGCCAGAAGCAATTCATCTGTCAGCCTCCAAGTACGCAGAGCAGTTGGGGGAACGCTTCAACATTCCACGCGCACCACTCTCAACCCCCTACCGCAACCCCGGCACCAACTACAAACCGAACAACAAACCTCTGTCCCATGCCGGACTTCAACTGTACCAGCAGCAACTGGGTTGCCTGCTGTTCGCATCTGTCACATGCCGACCCGACCTTTCGTACATCGCCAGCCAACTGGCACAGTACTCCCGCAAACCAGTAGCCGAGAACCAGCTGGACTTGGAGCGCGCCCTGCAGTACTTCATCTCCACACCTGACATCGGGCTCTCCTACTCCACGCTACCAACGACATCCTTCAACCTCAACGGCTACGTGGACGCAGATCACGCCGCTGACCCTGCGGATCGATGGTCCCGAACCGGCTTTGTCTTCCGACTGGAGCCAACCGGCCCCATCTCTTGGAACTCGCAGAAGCAGGAACTGGTTGCCCTGTCATCGGCTGAAGCAGAATACATCGCCGCGACAGCAGCAGTTCGCGAAGGCCTGTACCTGCAGGAGCTGCTACAGGAGGCGAAAATTCCAACCTCGCCTACCTTTCGCCTGCACTGCGACAACCAAAGCGCGATCAAGATCGCGAACAAGCCTGGGTTCGTGAACCGCACAAAGCACATCGCACTGCGGTACTTCTTCGTCAAGGACGAAATCGACCAGGGCAAGGTTGACCTCGCGTACTGCCCGACCACTGAGATGGCGGCCGACTTCCTCATCAAGCGTCTGCCACGTCAGCAGTACAAGCACTGCTCCGACCTCACCGGAGTGGTCAAGCGAGTCAGCACCCTTCGCGTCTAGGAATGAAGGAGAGTGTTACGATATGAAGTTTTAATGAGAAGGCATTCCTGTATGCTGCAGGAGCCGACTCTACCGAGTACGAAGGCGAGGAGTCAGAAGAGTCGAAGCGACACAGCAACCGTCTGATCAAGACCGATGCAGGAAGAAACATCTGAAGTGAAAAGAGCGGGAACAGGTTTGAAACTGGTTCCTGCGCCGCACGGTTGAATTTCGCTGTAGTAAGGGAATGTACCCCTTAGAGTACATGGCTAGTCTAGGTCGTTTCGCATTCCTTTGTATTTCCTATATAAACCCTATGTATGCATGCTATTATCAATCTCAGTCATTTACATTCACTCTGACCTGAGTTCACTACTTCCGCTGCGACACTACCTGCGATCAACCCTGAACGATCCTTTCGCTAAGTCCTTCTTCAGATTGTAACACATTTGTAGCATTGTGGTCGTCGCGGAGGGCCAGGCCTACTATGCCCTAAGAATCTCATCTGGACGCAGAGGTCCTCCCTCTAACTCCTCACGCACAGTTACGACCGTCTTTGTCTGTATATGCTTGTTTTGTCGGTGTATACATTCAATTATAATAAAATAATCAGTGTTTTAGCAACATTATTTGTTTGGCCATCAGTTGCTAGTTAGGGGAGATATCGACTTTTGGGCTTCGTATTCTGCCTGCTTCAGAGATCACACCCAACCACCTCTGTATTGCCACGTGGACTTTTTGCCACCAACCACAGACGACTTCTACTTTTCGCAACCGGCAATTAGGACGTCGAGGTAGACATTTCTGTGCCCTTGCCGTCTACGTTCCGTCAGAACGTCAGTTTGCAGGATCCCCTTGGACCTTGGCTTTGTCTCCCACTCACCCTCCAGCTGAAGTTTGGGGTTTGGACCTCATTCTCGCCCTTTCTGCCTGCTGCCTGAATCTGCACCCTTCTCCTATCTCAGGTAGGTCAAGTTCTAATGGCTGCTTGACTATTTCTTGCTTTCTCGTTGCAGTCAGAGCATCAGTTAAGATGAATTGTCTTGTTCTCTTATGTCGTACTCACGCTGCGTTTGCGAGGGGTCAATTATATAATTTGTTTCCCTCTTTTGTTTTTTGTCAACGTCCACTCGTTCCAGGTTGCCAACATGGGTAAGGAAAAGTTGCACATCAACATTGTCGTTATCGGCCATGTCGACTCCGGCAAGTCGACGACGACTGGTCATCTCATTTACAAGCTGGGTGGAATTGACAAGCGTGTGATTGAGCGTTTCGAGAAGGAAGCCGCTGAGATGAACAAGAGGTCCTTCAAGTACGCCTGGGTGCTGGATAAGCTCAAGGCGGAGCGCGAGCGTGGTATTACCATCGATATCGCTCTGTGGAAGTTCGAGACCAACAAGTACTACTGCACGGTCATCGACGCTCCCGGCCATCGTGATTTCATTAAGAACATGATTACTGGAACGTCGCAGGTCAGTGGTTTGCGCTCGGGCATCTTGTGTTCGAGACATGTTTTTTCGCCTGTCTGATATCATGACCCGAGTGTCCGATCTGATTAAAATTTGGCATGTCGTGACAGGCTGACTGCGCTGTTCTGATCATCGACTCCACCACTGGTGGTTTCGAGGCCGGTATTTCCAAGGACGGTCAGACCCGTGAGCACGCTCTGCTGGCGTTCACCCTTGGTGTGAAGCAGATGATCTGCTGCTGCAACAAGGTGAGTCTGGAATTGCCGTGCAGATTTTTTTTCGATATTTCGCGTTCTAATTGGTATTAACGTTTTACTTTACTTTCCCTAGTATCGCCCGCAGTCTTCTGGTATTTACGCTAAGATTGTTACGCTGTGCAGATGGATGCCACCACCCCCAAGTACTCCAAGGCTCGTTACGAGGAAATCGTGAAGGAGGTGTCGTCGTACCTGAAGAAGGTCGGCTACAACCCTGACAAGATTCCCTTCGTGCCCATCTCCGGTTTCGAGGGTGACAACATGATTGAGCGCTCCACCAACCTGGACTGGTACAAGGGCCCCACCCTGCTGGAGGCTCTGGATCAGGTGACTGAGCCCAAGAGGCCGTCCGACAAGCCCCTGCGTCTGCCCCTTCAGGACGTGTACAAGATCGGCGGTATCGGAACAGTCCCGGTCGGTCGTGTGGAGACTGGTGTGCTGAAGCCCGGTATGGTTGTGGTGTTCGCTCCCAGTGGGCTGACCACTGAGGTGAAGTCGGTGGAGATGCACCACGAGTCTCTTCCCGAGGCTGCACCCGGCGATAACGTTGGCTTCAACGTGAAGAACGTGTCGGTGAAGGAGCTGAAGCGTGGCTATGTCGCCTCCGACTCCAAGAACGACCCCGCCAGGGAAGCTGCCAACTTCACCTCGCAGGTTATCATCATGAACCACCCCGGACAGATCGGCAACGGTTATGCGCCTGTGCTGGATTGCCACACGTCCCACATTGCTGTCAAGTTCTCTGAGATCATCACCAAGGTGGACAGGCGTTCCGGCAAGGAGCTGGAGAAGGAGCCCAAGTTCGTGAAGAACGGTGATGCTTGCTTCGTGAAGATGGTTCCCACCAAGCCCATGTGCGTGGAGACCTTCTCCGAGTACCCTCCCCTTGGTCGCTTTGCTGTGCGTGACATGAGGCAAACAGTGGCTGTCGGTGTCATCAAGAGCGTTGAGAAGAAGGACCCCTCTGGTGCCAAGGTCACCAAGGCTGCTGCCAAGAAGAAGTGAATGCTGGCAACAGTCCGAAGTGTTGTGGGTGTTTGCTTGTGTCACCAGTTTCTCATAATCTTTGAGTGGGCCAGTTGTGGGTTGGCGTTGTGGCGGATATTGCTTTCTAGGAGGTGGCAGACATGGGTGTTGGACAGACGGTGGCAGGCTTTTACTTGTGTCTTGAACTAGTTGATGCTTGTCTTTTGTGAAGTATCTTTCTTTTGCCAGTTAATCCTCACCGGAGCCGTGGGATTGTGATGGAATTGTGGTTTCAATTTGGGCTTTTCTCGCAAGGGATCATTATATGTTCATCTTTGAGTCTTATTATGAAATGAGGCAAGCTCTTGTACTTCGCTTGTGCTTCTAAGGTCAGGATATGAAATTAACGATGCGTAGTTTTCTTTTATTTCTGGGTAATGCAAAGATACGCTTTTGTTAACCAAAACGAAGCACCACGTTTGCAAGGTCGATGGCGAGTCTGTTGCTTACCGGCACCGACTTGTGGATTCGAGTTGGAATGGTAGACTGCCTGACTTTTTTGTCCAAACGATAGAATGCCTCGATGTCGTTCTGCCGTTCGCCACGCGTTCGGTGCTGACTCGCTTCCCCATCCCTGATGTTACGATTCTGTTCGTTGTTTTATCAGCCGCCCGATTTCCCAGGCCTCGGTTTTGCAGCGCACTCACGCCGTTCACGCTCAAGGCCGATGCGATGCCCTACCAGGTGATGGCGTCAGTGGACGGCATCCAGGTGCAACAGGCTCGTTCCACGAGCTTTCCACAGTTTCTTCCGTCCTCTCCAGGTCGCCAGGCATTTGATTGACGGGGGGACGAGAGTGTGAGGTTGGGTTGGGGCGGCTCGATGCACGGAGTGTGCGTGGGGAACACTGGAGGGGGGAGTGGGAAGTATATTTCCATTGGTCGGATTTTGGAAGCAGGGTGACGATGACGTAAGCATTTGGTCGGTGATAGGCTGTAGGCGCAAGAATGGAGGGATGGACGTAGGAGCCGACCAAAGCGGACACCGCTGAGAGGCAAGAACGACCCACCCGACCCGAGCGAGCACACGAAGCCACAGTCAGTCAATCACCCGATCCGGGTACAGTAGAACGAATAGATAAGCAGGCTGCTCCGGACTTGCGACTCCGAGTCCTCATTCTCCACTCACGCTTGGTTCGATCTGCTCCGCTTTTCCAAGAACTCTGTCTCTTGAGTCGTCGAGGCGACTGTCTAATCAAGAGGAGCTCCGCACTTGTCGCGCGCCCTTCCGTCGTCGCCATGGCTCGCTCGCTTGCCGCGATTGCCCTCACCGCCACAGCGCTCGTCGTGCTGCTCTGTACGCGCTCATCCCCCGTTCGCCTCTTGTGCTGCTCTGTACGCGCAACCCCTTTCGCCCACCGACTCTCCGGAGACTCTGAGTCCGACTCACTCGAGCCGTTCCGTCGCACGCCCCCTCCGCTCCACGTGACTCTGCGTCCTTGTTTCCTTCCTCGCAACTCCCGCGTTTCTCGCATCAACCTCACGCGTACAAGCCTCAGCTTTCGCCGCGTACTTCGGTTTCTCACGGCTGTTTAAGCATGCGCTCCTGACTTTCTTGCTTCTTGCAGAGCCTCCGCTTCCAGTCGGTTCACCCCCTTGTTCCTGCTCTCCTGCTCTCCTGCCTTCCTGCTCTCCTGCGCTCCTGCGCTTCTTCACCCATCATCTCGCTCCTGGAAGCCTCTTTTTTCGTTACTCGCTCATCCCCCCCGCTTTTCCCCTTACTGTGTCGATTTTTTTTTTCTCCTTCCCCTTCTGCTTCCCCCTACCACACCCCCTCCAAACATCCTCCGGTGGCAGGCGCAATTCAATCAGAGGTACTGCTCCCTTACCCTCCTGCCTCTTGCCTCTTGCTCTTTTGCCCTCCTGCCTCTTGCCCCTTGCTCTCTTAGGGCGCGTAACCATTTTGCATTTTACGATTTTGACGGACAGTCCGCTTAAAACGAAGCGGACAGTCCACTTATCGAGAACGGGACCGTCCGATTGATTTTTTTGCAACTTCGGACTGTCCGAAGAGAGTTGTGACACTTTTTTTCTAATGTACAGTTTCACGAAAACTGTACAATCGTTACGCGATTCGTTTACGTTCGCGAATGTCGTTATCGAATCATTCTCGTTTGAGGGTTGTCTCTGGTTGGTCAATGTCGATTCGTGAAGTAGCATTGCATGTTTTAGTTGGTGGACGAGGTGACTCGACAATTGATGCGTCGCGCGCCAATCGTGTGCAAGGACTATCGGACAGTCCGTTTGAGATTCGGACTGTCCACGGTTCAGATTTCGGACCGTAGAAAATGGGAAAAAGTGTCACGACTGTCCTTTTTGTTGGCGATGTCGCCAACACCTTAACGAACACACTTGCGACGTAGCGCGAAAGTTGTTACCTTTTCGCCACCCGGACGGTCCACGGTTCGAACCGTCGGGTGCAAAATGGTTACGCGCCCTTATCCTCGTACCCTCATGCCTCTTGCCTCTCTTGCTCTCTTCCTCTCTTGGCCCTCCTGCCTCTGTCCTTGTGCCTTCCTCCTGCTGTCCTCTCCCTTAACTTCCTTCTCCAACTCCCAACCTGTCTCTCACATCACATGCGCCCCTATCTCACTGCTACTATTACTCGTCGTCCTTCCTTTTGACTCATACTCCTCATTCCTTCTGCACTCGTTTGTCTCCGCCTCAATTCTCGCACACAACCCACCACCATTAGTTCATGCCCTCACATGCATGCACCATCCTTGCCCGCTCCTTTCTTTTGCGCCCTTGCTTTTTTCAAGCCCCTCCATTCGACTTCTCCTCCTCTCCCTCTCCGCACATCTCTACACCATCGCTCCATTCGTCTGCCTCTCTTCATCTCACTGTCTCTTCACCCTCTGCATCTCTGTGTCTTCATCTTCCTCGTTGCCATCGCCTTGCCCAACAGGCCAAGGTGTTCATAGTGGGAGGCAGTGGGCTCAGTCCATGGGGATACGGTGTGAAGAAGTGGAAGCCAAAGGGCGTCATTCACGCCGGGGACACTCTCGGTACGCCTCTACCCTTCATGCACTCATCGCATCTACACTACCCCTCGTTGGCAGTGGTCATTGCAAGGGGATGCTACTTCCACGAAGACAGACTTATCGGTTCTGCTGGTTACATTCTTTTTACAATCCTCTGCGCTACAGTTCATTCTTCCTACAGCGTTCGCCTGGTTACATTCAACTTGCTGCTTTGCTTATATTGGTCTGTCTTGTTCCACTGGCCTTACTGCACTGACCTGACCTCATCCAACCTCACTTCCCTGTGCGTCCCTGCCGCCGTCTGCGCCACTGCCTGCAGTGTTCAAGTGGAGGGGCATCCCGCATGACGTGTGGATTATGAACACCGTGAACGCGTACAATTGCAAGCAACGCTGTCGCTCACTTGCTTGTGCGTCCCGGCCTCTGTCCGTGCCACTGTGCAGTGTTCAAGTGGACGGGCACTCCGTACGACGTGTGGATCATGGACTCCATGGATGCGTACAATGCCTGCGACTCTAATGCAGCCACGTGGCGCTGCTTCTGCTTCCCTGCCACCGTCCGTGTTACTCTGTGCAGTGTTCAAGTGGAGGGGCATTCCGCATGACGTGTGGATCATGAACTCCATGGACGCGTACAATAACTGCGACTTTGGGGCGGCCACTAGGAAGACCGGCATCACGTCCGTGGGGAAATACAAGTGAGTGTGTAAAGCGTTTCTTGAGATGAGACGAGGCACTGTAGACATGCATGCTGCCTGCGATGCGACTTGGGGGCGGCCAGTAACAAGACCGGCAACATATCCGTGGTTGACTGTGAGTGTGCAAATAGCGTTTTGAGTTGAGACAATGCACTGTAGATGCGCATGACAATGGCGGCTTAAGGAGCACCGCTGAGGAGAGGGTTCACCTCATGAGGGGAGTACAAGTGAGTATGCAGCTCGTTGAAGCTTTGCAGAGCTGGACATTCTACTGCCACTGCACTTCGCTCAAGCATCTGCAAGGTTTCCTATTATAGGTATCTCTTGCTCCCAGATACATCAGACGTTTGTTACCATCCTGTGATGCAAGTGTTTCATATATGGCTGTGCCTTGTGCTGTCCACTCATCGTTTGAATCATGTGTCTCAGGTACAAGGTTCCAGCTTCAGCAAAAGGCACTTCGATTCTCTTCTCCTGCAGCGTGCCTGGCCACTGCTCCGCATTCAACATGAAAGTGGCTGTACCAATCCATACATAAGTGATTTTTTTTTTTTTCCTGCGTCCTTTTTTTCTTTTGTGCTGCTGTTAGCAAATTTTGTCTTTATGTAAGTTTCCTGCTTGTATATAACTGCTTTATTGAAGACTGAAGTGAAGCTACAGCAAGCGTCCGACAGCTGAGTGGATTGTTCCAGCGTATCCATCAAGGAAATGTTTAGGGCGTGGGCAGCGCGTTCATTTTCTCCACTTTTCCAAAATTTTGACGCCCGTCGAATCAGGAAAATACTGTAGCATTTTTGCACCGCGCTTAGTTTGTGTCCCAGGTGGGACACGCGCGTCCAGAATTAGGCACAGGTCCCGCCACACTTTTGCCCAACCGCCCACCCAATGAGGTAACCCTGTGCTAGTGGATTTGGTTACGGGGCGCAGTACGAAGCTGTATTTGTGAACCCATGAATTTGCGAGGGTCGTACGCGCTTGACGAACTCGTGGTGCGGTTTCGCTGACCTGCACACAGGCATTCTCGAATGATGCGCGTGTTGTTCGCGGCCGGTTGACGGCACGGAAAACAGCCACCGTTCATCCACTGTATACTCCGTCGTGTCCACTCGTTACTCTAAATCAGGGTTACAAACCGCTGAATCTGGTAACTGTTTCGGGCTAAGCCAAGAAAATGAACGCGCTGCCCCGCCCTTAGAGCAAATGTCACATGTTTGGTGTTTGCCGCTCAACTTTGTGGATACCGTTCCTAAACGTGACGCACCACTCATCACCTCACTCCGTCGAACACTCCCCGCTGGACCCGACCCGACGATCTTGTTGTCCCAATGTTTGACGCGGGAGAAGTGCTTCACATGGAAGTACACAGTACCACTCACGTGTTAGTTTTGGTTGGAACAGCCTACATCCGCCAGCGCAACGTCTCGTCCTTCAACGCTCACAAGAAACTGCCTGCGTTCCCTTCGCATCGCAAGGCATGGGGCGCCATCCCTTACCCGCCATTTCCGTCTCATTGTCGTTGAGGGGCAAAACAAGATTCACGACCAGCAGACCGCAGACAATGAGCTCATTCGTTACGACGCACCTTTCCTGGATACCAGCCGTCGCGTCGCGTTTTCCTTTCGTGGCGACACGAACCACTTGTCTCATTTCTTTCCTAGTAGGAAGTAGTATTCACCTACCATTTTCCCAGTCTCAACGTTTCCACAATATTGTGGCGTCATTTTCGCGAGTCGAGAATCCCGTTTAGTTAATCCAAGAAACGAGGCCTCTCATTCTGTCAGTACGACTATCTCTGGAATATTCCTCTCGTCGTGTCTGAGTCCCATCATCAACATGCAACGGCTGCCGCCGGTCGTGGTGTCTGCTGCAGTCGCCGTGACGGCGATGCTGCTCGTCGCCATGCTCGCGACAAGAGCCGACGGACAGCTTACATGTGAGTCGGGCCTGGACTGTAATGGCTACAATGGTGTTGCTCATCCAATGGTGATGGCTGTATCGTAAATTGGGTCAAGATGAAAGGCATTTTTTTCGCCAATGAGACAGTCTTAGGATGCCTCCATTTTTTATTCCTTCTACCCATGCCCTTGGGTTTGAGTCTGTTACTCTTTACCATGCCTTGTGTCTCTGCTCTGCCTCCCATCCCATGTGCCTCTGCTCTGCCTCCCATCCCATGTGCCTCTGCTCTGCCTCCCATCCCATGTGCCTCTGCTCTGCCTCCCATCCCATGTGCCTCTGCTCTGCCTCCCATCCCATGTGCCTCTGCTCTGCCTCCCATCCCATGTGCCTCTGCTCTGCCTCCCATCCCATGTGTCTCTGCCACGAGCATCAGTTGAAATCCATCGGTGTGCGATCAACCTCATGGCGTGTCTTGACGCCACCCCTTGATGCTACTTCTAACCGTTCCTCCACCTTCTCCTGCAACTGCACCAACCCTCAAACGCTGCAGTGGACCTGCACCCCACTCGAATGTTCGTTTCACCACCCACCAGCCCGCGCCTCCGCCTTTGCATTTTCCCTCCATCCCTCATTCCCTCCTTCCTTCCGTCCTTCCTCACTGCTTTCTAACGTCTTCTCGTGCTCCCATCACCTCCACATCATTCCCATTCGTTTTCCCATACCCTTCTTCCTCTTCCTGTGCTGCCAATCAAATGCTGCAATATTTGAGGCATCTCAGCCCCGTTCTGCCAGCAGCAGGATCACGCATCTCTCCTCTCCTTTCTCACTGTCGCCAAGCCAGCTACCATTCGCCGAGCTCGAATATTCCGCCCCATCCTATCTCTCCGACTCTTCATGCTCAGCTTCCTCTCTTCGTTCCACACACTCTCCCCTCTCCATCGCCACATCAAGCGCCTTTCCACATCAGCACTCCCTTTGCGCATGCTGTGTCCCTGCCTCTGCCTGCTCATCCATGTGTTGTCCCTGGAAACTAGATAAAGGTGCCCTTCCCAAACGTGCCCCTCCCGATCCCCACCCTTGCCGCCAAGCTAGCAGAGACACGGATGTGGCAGCAGGCGGGTGTGTGTGTGCATGCATCATTATGGAGTGTGGTGGATCAGCTGCATTCTGATGGACCTGTCCTTATTTCCCCCCTCATACCCCCCTCAATGCGCACCAATCTTTCCTCGCATCCAGGCAGCACGGGCATGGCAGCAGGCGGGTTTGTGAATGGAGGCTGTCCGTCAGAACAATACAGCACTCACCATCACCTGCCCATCCCACCCCTTGGTCTGTCCACCCCCTTGGTCTGTCGCCACCTCTTGGTCTGGTCGCCAACCCCTGGTCTGTCCCCCACCCCATGGTCTGTCCCCTACCCCTTGGTCTGTCCCTACCACTTGGTCTGGTCCCCACCCCTTGGTCTGTCGCCCACCCCTTGGTCTGTCCCCACCCCTTGGTCTGTCGCCACCCCCTTGGTCTGTCGCCACCCCTTGGTCTGTCCCCTACCCCTTGGTCTGTCCGCCACCCCTTGGTCTGTCCCACCCCTTGGTCTGTCGCCACCTCTTGGTCTGTCGCCACCCCTTGGTCTGTCCCCTACCCCTTGGTCTGTCCCCTACCCCTTGGTCTGTCCCCTACCCCTTGGTCTGTCCCCCACCCCTTGGTCTGTCCCCCACCCCTTGGTCTGTCCCCCACCCCTTGGTCTGTCCCCCACCCCTTGGTCTGTCCCCACCCCTTGGTCTGTCCCCACCCCTTAGTCTGTCCCCCACCCCTTGGTCCTGTCCCCCACCCCTTGGTCTGTCCCCCCACCCCTTGGTCTGTCCCCCCACCCCTTGGTCTGTCCCCCACCCCTTGGTCTGTCCCCCACCCCTTGGTCTGTCCCCCACCCCTTGGTCTGTCCCCCACCCTTGGTCTGTCCCCACCCCTTGGTCTGTCCCCCACCCCTTGGTCTGTCCCCCACCCCTTGGTCTGTCCCCCACCCCCCCTCACAGGGTAGGCAGCAGCGTGCACGGGTGTGGTGGCAGCAGGTGTGGGCCTGCCATTAGTGTGGCAGAACCTGAGGCGTCTCAAGGCGACTTCTGAGGCGTCTCAAAAGTTTGCAATGAGTGCAGCGAAATAGCAACACCTACTCGTCCATACCTGCATGCCTTTCCCCTCTCGCACCCCTCTCACACCCCTTT